TTGAGAATGGCATTTCTTTCAACCGAGTAGTGGAGACAACTAGGCGGATCGAGAGGATTCATGGTCAGGGTAGGGAGACAAAATCTGAGAATAGGCGTCGTAATTTCGGTGGTTTCAGTGGTGCCTCATCTGGAGTCAGGTTTCATTTGGTAGGGGCCATCCTCCCAGGATGATTCAGTTAGCGCTTCAGGTTTCTCACAGTGTTTCAAGTAGTCATGATTCTTATGGGTCCCGTTCTGAGGAGCTAGCAAGCCTTCATACCTCGATGCTTGCAATTAGAAGTGAAAATTAGAGAGTTTCAAAGTTGGGAGAGTGAATAAGGGGGAGGTCGTTTACTTTGAGAGCCTCAAAATTCTTTTGACTTCTTGTTAACTGTGCAGAAAACACTCGTAAAAGACCCTCTGATGTCACAATTATGACCCATTCTTCGCAATTGCGAAACACAAAAATTTAGCAGAGGTCGCAATTGCGACGCTTTCTTCAATTTTGCGACGAATTAGAAGATTGCAATTGCGAGCAGTTTTTCGTAAATGGGATAACAGAGGCCTGGGCCTGATTTTTCCTCATTGCCCAATATCCCTACTTTTGCCCCAAATACTACCAAACTTCATGCAACTTAGTAGATTGATAAAAAATAATAGAATAAACTGTTCTAAACAGAAAAATTGAATGACAAAATAATTTTTTTAAAGATGACTAAAAGCTTGAAAATGATGGGTTGCCTCCCGCCAAGAGATGTATTTAATGTCGTGGCACGACGCGAATCAACTTTACCACTTATTTCACCACTTGAAAGATATGAACTGGTCACCTAACTTGGAATCAAGTTTGTGACCGTGAGCGAGGGGGTGGTAAGTAGATGATCAAGCCACATGCAATTTGCTTCATTTTGCATTTCTTGGCTTTCATGTGAGGAATGTCATTTTGTCTTCTTGTACCTTTATATTGTAAGATGTATTACCCTTGCCTATCCTCTTCACAATCCCTCATTAACTCGTATAGTTCTATTCACATATCACCACACAATTCCAATATTGAGAAATGCTTGGAATGTGACATCAAGCATCCAAATTGCATTTCTTTCTGGTTTTTGACATCCTATTTATACACCGAACTAGAGTCAAATTCAACTATTTTTTCAACTATACTGGTTGACTTCAATTCCATATTTTTCTTGGCATCACCAACAAACATGGAGTCGGTTGGCGGATTTTTAATTCTTGATTCCTTAAAATAAATCTCACTTTCTTCCAGAAGTAGGATTTTTCTTGAGCTCTTTCCACACTCTCAAGTTGGTATGCATAATGAGCCTCAACCAGTGATTTTATTTGTTCTTCCAAAGCGCGTATAGTCTCATTATTTCGATTTAGTGCTTGTTTTAAGTCCTCGAGTGCCAAGTTTTGCTTCTCCTCATTTTCAAGAATGACCTCTAACATGAGCATTAACCTCTCATTTTGAGCATTTGAGAATTCTTCTTGAATTGGATCAAGTGCCAAAGAAGGATTTTCGGCTTCAACCTCTAAGGAAGGTTCTTGGCTATCATTCACTTCCGAGGCTTTTTGAACTTTAAAAGCTTCAAACATTTCTCTCATTTGTGAATTCAACCTTTCAAGCTTTAAATCATTTTGGAGACTAGTTTCCAAAAGCTCCTCCAAGGCATTTTGCTCTTTGTTTCTTCCTTCAAGTATGTATTCCATCATGAGCTTGAACTCTCTATTTTGACCATGCTCAATTTCTTCCACTTCCATATCCCTATACTTGTTAGCACAAAAAGTAGAATCATCATAGAGGGGCTTCGGGGAAGGAAGGACAAATAAGCACAATTAGTCCAATGACCATTTTGACCACCATACTTATAACAAATACTCTACTCATGGGTTTGAGATTGTGCGCACAATCCGCCTTGCGAGAATTTAAATAATTTTTCCAAGAGTGTGATTCTTCACAATAAGGATAAAGGTCATCAAAGTATGAATAACTACCATCCGATCAATTTTCATTACATGATGCCATTTTTCAAATTTCAGAACTAAGAAAATAAACAAGAACAATCACGAAAATAACAAGAAAGTAAACAAAGTTAAGAAAAATAATTACACAAATATTCACAAGTTTGGACCAAAGCACATATGCTTACTTCTCAAACAACCTAAATACGCCAAATTGTTCCCCTGCAACGGCGCCAATTTTGATGACGTCCAAATCCACTACTAAAAAGTAAATGGACACGGTCACATGTAATATAATATACCCAAGTACGAATCGGAGTTTAATCCCACAGAGAACAATATCTAGGCGATCAGTCCTGTAAGAGGCTTATTACTTATGATGCTAAGCCAAACACCTAGAAAGGTTTTGAGAAAACACACATATAATACTAATACATAAATTCAGTATTTATATTACCTGAAAAGTGACATTATAGGTAACAACTTACTAGTTGTAGCTTGTGCATCATTCATATAAAATACTTAAAAATGGTAAGTCAGTAGCAAGCATCAAGTAGGTCATGGATACTCAAAAATACCTCTTCTAGTAGTCATACTAATCATTGTTTGCTTTCAAATGATACGACCATAAATTATGAAGTATACTTTCTCAATAGCTGGGTTGTTTTCCAAATTTCAAAGAAGTAATTAATCAATCTAAATAAAGATGTGAAGTATTTTTTGTTTTCTTCAAGGTGATTTATGCTTTTAATCAGTATGACCATTTTTTTTATTCTTTTTTTTTACTATATGCAAGTGTAAAAATCCAAAAGAAAAAAAAATATTCATCCAAGTAAAAGAAAAATGTTTAAAGCGACAGGACAGATTGAAGATAGTTAACACATAAATATGCATAGGACAATTTATATAAAATATCCTTGGTTACCATGACATGCATCATATCAACAATTAATTGCTACTATGATTTTCACATATAGAACTTCGAAAATTTTATTCCATTCATGTGATATAAAAGATGTAATATTAATATGTGCTTATGCAATACAGGTGTAGTACGAAGTTGTGTGCATATGAGATTTTAAAGGAATGACAAGTATAAGATAATCATACCTTCTTACATTTCATTACTTACCATATGTAGTTTCTCTTTACATTTAACCATGTGATGATATGTATGGCTTCTAATTGTAATCTTTCCGGATGTAGAATTTTTTTTTGTAGATATATATATATATATACAATTAGTTAGAGACTCGTGCTGATAACGTGTTATGAAATAAAAGCAATTTAGTAAAACATGAACAAGAAATAAGGACAATTTAGTAAAACACGAAAAGAAAGAGATAGAGAGAAAGGAAGAAATTTTCTTCTTCAATTGTGTGTATTTTCCTATCTATTACAAGGCCTTTATATAGGTATGAAAAGTGAAGAAAATATGTCATGGAATATGTCATTGAACATAGAAAATATGTCATTAGCCATTTGAGAGAAAGATCATGGAGGAAGAGTAGACATCCACCATATTTTGATTTTTATCATAACATTTACGTCTTTCTTTAAGCCCTATTTTGCCACTTTGAATCACTGCCGACGTCAAAACCAACATCCATTAATCCTTTCCTTTAGTGCCCAATCACATAAGAAAATAGTCCCATTCTGTCAGGTAAAACTAGGTTCTCGCTACAGCCTCCGTTCAACAATAAGCTTTTAAACTTTATACATGATTTTCGACAAGATTACAAATCATGAACGACATATATGTTTATAATATCTGACATATACATATCATCTATGATATCTATTTAGATGCAATCTGATTCTGATACCAATTGATGGAAAACAGGTATAAACAACGGAAGCAAATAGCCAGGATCACTTGCATGTAATATAGACAACACATAATCACAGATTTTAATCAAATATAAAATCGATACTTATATCTTGAAGCGTGACTACAATCACCAAAAGACCTTCAAGCAAGAGCGAAAACGTCCACGGGATCATCCTCCAATTCCACAGTCTTCTGCTGTGTGACCCGAATAATGACCGGAATAAGCGAAACTCGTGTGGGCGAGTTTCTCCCAGGAAAACTGTATAGTAAAAAACATAGTCTCCTTATGGAATAAGACCCCTTTATATAGCCACAGGTTTTAGGGTTTAAAGCCTTTTCCTAAACCTGTTGGATCTTACTTTTCCACCAAGAAATATAATTCCATTTAATTCCTAATTATTCGGTCACAGCAGGAACCACAGTATTTAATTAAAGAGGCTTCCTATTATGGACTTAATTCGAAATATCCGAATTAATACTACCATAATAAATTACGAATTATTCCACTAAAAATTCGTAACTGCACTCCTCAGTTCAATTTCGAAATTCTTCCGTTAAATCTTATTTAACTCCCCATGTTAAGATTCAAATACTAATCAAATAAATTAAATTGCTGACAATTTAATTCATTGATTATTTCCTTTAGACTTTCGTTTAACTTATTTCATGTGACGGATACAAAATCCACCTGCAGGGTTTACACATGAAAAGTTATAAGCTTTCACAAAGGTGTATCATCAATTTCTAGACCGAGACATGGATTCCATCAACTAACTATTACTTTGCCAATGTATATTATTATTGTCCAATTTACCAGGCTTATTGACCCACGAAAGAATCTCGCCTTTTAATAAATCAAAACAATAGTAATATACATAGCTAATAACAATTATATCAAGATTAAGAGTATAAGTACATTTAATGGCTAGAGAGTTTATTTTATTAAGTCAGTATAAAATACTTATCTCTACTTGGTCCGTTCAATACATACAAAATGTACTAGCACAAGAAGTTGGAATTAAATCTTTCCCAATTCCCATAATCAAGATAAGTTATCTTTAATCTTGTGCTACAATCATTCCTGATGGTTTGTCCAATTCCATCATTAGATTATGAACATAATCTTATACTTATAAGAACCGATGATTTAATCTTCCGTATATAAGCTAAACTCTATACACTAAATCATCTACTATATTAGTAAAGGACACAAATGAATATATGATCTATTTAAAACTTTATTAAAATTGAATAAGCAATTATTCCACAATAAATACTATATCCAACCCAAAATTCATGGTTATTAGTATATATCCCAACAATGATCCGGAGACAAGTTCGGTTCACACACTAAACATGAAAGTTATGATTTCACATACGCAATATCCTATTGGATTTATGAAGTTCTGCCTTGACAACGATAAACGACAGTTGCTATCTTTTCCATCAAATTTCCTTGCAGTGACATTTTTCACCAAATCTTGGATCCGACAACACAAGCAATTCGGGAACTAGTGACACTTCCAAGCAACAGTAACTGAAACTTAAGAGCTATCAGTGTATCTGCTGGAATGGAAATATAGCAGAATTGCACAACCATCTTTATCTATAGTTCCTTCTGGCTGCTATCTCCTAAAACATTACCCGCTGCCTGGGCCTGAATGGCACACTGTCTCAGCAGATCCTTTAGGTTATCTACCAACTCTAGGAATGTTGGGCGTAGTTGTGGCTCACTGAGGCGGACAAATCAAAGAAGTTGCATATCAGTTAAATTATATGCATAATGATGTTCAAACAAAAGTGATTTAGAAGAAAGATACATTGATCTTGCAGTCAAGGTGCTTAATGATTTAGCCAGTGAACCAAATTTGTTGCAGCCAGTAATTTTGATGAGTCACCTCTAAACATAAATTTACTAGAACTCCGTCTTTTCACAAATGATGTACCACATTAAGCAAATAAAGCCTTCCGGTTTACAGACATCACATATGAATTATTTTTGTGGAAGAGCTTCACTCAGGTTATATATTTTCAAGTTATTCCATTTTATTTTTCCCAATCATGATGAAACATCTCTATATGTTTGGATGTTGTGCCAGTACTGCTTGTCAAGGACACAAAACTCGAGTATAAACAGGGCAATAACTATTTTCTTAAAAAGCCTATTTGCTTCAATTAACCAAACGTAATGGCGACAAGAATAAGATACAAACCTATGCCAACAGCTCTCTATAATAGAAGCCCACTGTGGATTAACATCCTTCGGGATATCTAGCTGCTGATTCATGAATCCTACTGCTCCGATCACCTGAAGCGACTCCAAATAATTGTTCTCAGAGCTCAACTATAAGAATACATTTCCTTTCGATTTTTCATCTTTGGGCTATTCTTCTTGGAGGGGGTGGGGTGTTTCCAATCTGGCCCAAACAAGGGAATTGTATGGTATGTAATCCAAGTGAAGTTTCAGAGAGAAGATGAAAGTACCTGCATCGAGTTGAGGTTTTCCCAAGGGATCTTTTTCGTGGCAAGTTCCCATAGTATCACACCGAAACTGTATATATCAGCCCTGGATGCACATCCATTTAAGAAACAATATTATTATTTACTCAGGAATCTTCATGAAATTCATCAATATCATGAAAAATATTTAAACTCTTATTGTTGGCATACTTCTCATCTGAAGGTTCATTGCGAAGAACTTCTGGAGCCATCCATTGTGGCTGCAAGAGAAATGAAGTTTGACATAAAGTCAGCCAAGGCACTTGAAGTTCGAATATGCAGATGAACTAAAGTAGCTAATATATATATGCTAAGAAAATGAGGTCCTCAGTTCAAGTTGAATACCGTTCCTTTCCCACTCTTTGTTGTTAGATATGTCTCGT